GTGCTGCTCATCCCTGAAGTAGAGGCTGTTGCATGCAGTCTGTGGTGGATCAAGAAACCATTTATGCTGCAGGCTTGTTGTCTATAGGAAGATGCAAAGACTTTCATTTTCCTGGAGGTAAGTGAATGGTTTCCAACTTAAAAAATTCAGTGCCCTTTCTCTCTCCCTAAGGAGGTGGCAGAACATGAGAGGCATTTTTTCTAGCCCCTATATGTAAAAGAAACCACTTTTTGATGCCAGTTGATTCCCCCTTTCCTCTCTTCCACTGCTTTCCTAGTCTAACTTATCTCCTTTATTCTCATTCATCCATTTCTCTCTTCTACCATCTATCTTTTTTTTTAGTAGGTCAGGCATAAATGGATAATAGATCTGGATTTACTAAAAGCTCTCTGACTGATTTACCCTACAAGGATTTATGATTTCTCATTATTTAAAAATAGCAGCATTAAAATGAGTGGATTCAGACAAGATGATAACCATTACTCAAGAGTTGTCTATGGACTGGGTGTGGATTGCTGTTGAAACGTGGGCTATATTGCAGAAACCCCGCCATGATAACAAACCATGGCGAAAAATCCATAGTTCACAATGCAACAACAGACTGTGGTGTCTCTTCATAGGTTAATTGTGGTTAATAAGCCAAGGCTTGCTAATGAGATGGGCTCTGACAAAATGAGAACCCATATTTCAACCACTACCACCCATGGTTCAATGGTAACCCCTCTTAACCCATAGTGAACTCTTGACTATGGCTTATTATGTTGTCAGAACCCATCCATTGTATCCTTCCCTGGGCTTGATTATGCTGTTGAAATGAAGAGAGCTTGAGTTAAACAGAAGAGATGTGAAACTCTGTCCTGCTGTGCTATTCAAAACATATCACTGTGTTCAACATTCTTTAATTCTAAGTGTATGTCTTTTGCAAAGGCTCTAGATGGAAGATCTCCAGGTTGTAGTAAAAAAAACCTTAGATCCCACAAGCCTGAAATCTGCCCATATACAGATACATTACACGTTTGAGTGAAATACAGGCCATCATGATACAAATTACAGAACAAAGAAGCAGCTGATGTCCAATTGGACATCACCAAATGAGTGTGTCAGTTCTGAGCATTTCCAGCTTGCATAACCATGGTCTTTAGATCTTCAACCCAGTGGTGGTGGTCTTTTTTTTTCCTAAATCATTGAACAGAGATGAGGACTGGGGGTGTTACAGGCTTGCAGATCTGGGTTGAGAGGACTGGTAGCTGATGGAGACTGTCAATATTAGCTGAATTACTCTTGGTTTCTTTTTACAGTTCCACAAGCCACTTACGGTCCCCCAGTGGTTGTGTACCTCAGCTCAGATATATTGAGGGGGGCTTGCACTAAGTGGTAACAGAACATGCATTACATGTGGAAAGTCCACAGCTCATTTCTTAGGATCTTCAGACAATAAGAGATGCCAAGCAAACATCACTTTAAATCTGTGTCTTCACCACAACATTTAAAATCTAGTGCAGGCACAAGGGGTCTGATTCAAACTGGGTGTGAGCGGTGGAGACTTCTGAGATCTGGATAAGGCCTCATCTGAGTATTCTAGAGTAAAAATGAAATGAAAAAAGAGACATAGCTGTTGGCCATAGATTTAATGTTATGTCTATTTGGCTTTTGAGAAAGATTTATTTTGTTGTAGGTTTCTCACTCTGTAGCTAATTGCAGCTTGGTGGTATGTGTGTATTTGTGTGTGTTAGGAAATTGGTATGGAGGCAAAGGGTTAAATCTCCCTGTCTCTGCATTGTGGCCTGGATCCAAATTAACATTCCTTCTCAAGAAAGAAAAGTACAAGGAAATCCCACATAAAGTCTAGTTTGATGTGGTTAAATGCTGGGATATCTGAATGAACAATATCATAGTTACTTTAAATTAAATATTGGTATATGTACATATGTACCTGTGTGTATGTGTGTGTGAATTATTTTCATAGATTTTGTTTGAAGCCTTTTGCTTGATTCTGAATTCCTCTGTGTAGCTCAGACTCAGCAATGACATTTGGATCTCAACAGCTGATCATCAAACAGCTTTAGAATCAGTGCTGCAAAATAGTTCAGACAGTGGTGGCATTCCGTGCTGAAGGAACACAGGAATAGTTGCAGAAAGCAGAAGGTGCAATATACGAAAGGCAGTTCTTCATTTCTGTCTCTGTCGCTCTTGCTGTTTTCCCACACTTCTTCTAAGGCCTCAGGCAGGCATTCGTGGTTCTCTCCATGCCGTCTTTTTATCCATCCCAACAGATGTGTGAGGTTGACTAAGCCGAAAGCGTGACTGGACCAAGGCCACCCCTTGAGCTTGATGCTGAGTGGGGATTGGGACTCAGGGTCACTGCACTCTCTGTTCCACATTCTAGCTGCTGGCTTTGAGCTCTCTCCCCAAGACCTCTGCTCGGAAGTCAACTAGAGAAGATGGCCATAGGAATAAATAGGGAAGTGTGTATCTGTAGGAAAGGGACAGTGCTGTTGGGGAGCAGAGCTGTGGAGACTCCCTCTCCTTACCTCCAAATCAGATTTTACTTTTGATTTTTTTTTTTTTTTTTTGGGAGGGTGGCCTTTTTAGCTAGTGTTGGATTAAAGAGGAACTCTTCCTGAACAAAGCTAGACAACCAGAACTTTTGAGAAGGGACAGCAGTGGCTTTTCTCTTTGTACTTGCCCTAGACATTCAAAGAAAGCATGGCAATAGGGCTTTTTCAGTTGTTTCACTCTAGAATGCCCTTTGGTGTGGTTGGGCTGTGGGGATCAACTGGGACAGGACCTCTTCCAAGGGAGTTGAAGAGCAAGAGTTACCCACCTGCCTACCTGTTTTCCAATGTGTATGTGTGAACCTTGAATTTTTGAACCCCATTCCTACCATTGCTTTCAGCTAATGCCATGATGTAACGCTAATTTAAAAAATCCCAGTCCTAAGGGGCCATGTGCCCTACAGAGAACAGTAATCTCTTAGAAGAGTTGTCGAAGGATTCTTCCAGAGGAGTCCTCAACTCTAAAGTGTCTTCGGTAAATGAGAATCTTCTGTGGGAAGCAGACTTTTTTCAAGGACTGTCCAGTCAAATTCAATTTATGGCATGATGCATTTTTATTTAAATTATATCAATTATTTATAAATTGCCATCTATGCACATAAATCAGCATGTGTGAATTTTATGTAAATCTGTTTCCTTCTTTAGTCTTTTAAAAGCAGCTGATGCATTTTTCCCTTTTTTGGACACTTTTAAAATGACTACCTAGACAGCTACATCAAACGGTGTTTTCAGTGCTCCTTCCTTGAACTAGAATCATATCTAGGAGGCAAAATACTTGCATCCTCTGGAAGGTGAGTGTTCTGGATGCTGTTATCTTTCTTGAAAAAGAATAGGTGTACAAACTCAAATAATTGCTGGATTTTGCAACTGACTCAAGACCACCCAGGTAGGTATAGCACTTGTTCTTCTGGACAGTATGGGTTGAAAGTAAAGGGCACAAAGTTAGTACATCCACTGCAATACGGCAAGCTTGTTGGACCTGACATAAGGACATATAAAAGCTGTGATCATAAAATCTTCCAGCCAGCTACTAATGCTCATCTATTCAATTTGCACAAAGACAAGAATGCTCAGGTGGCATTTAGTAAAGCACATGCTATTCCTCACAGTCATGAATGTCCTCACCAGCTGTTTTTCTTATGAAGTATCCAGAACACCCCCCACCCTGAGGCTTTGTTGCGATGGGGGCGGCATAAAAATGTTTTAAATAAATAAGCACTCAGTACCAGCTATACCTTGTTTTAGCTGTCCCAAACTCCTATCACCCCAGATGGATGGGGGGGAGGCTGCATTATTCTGAGTGGGGTCCCTGATGAAGTCTCCACTTCCGGATTGTCTTGAGATTAAGTTTCCTACAATATCTTATGTCAGAGCAAACTTGAAATGCTTATTTGTGAGTAAATGTGTGTGTTATATACCAGCTTGTGCAAAGAAAGACATGGGAACACATGAAGGGCACAGCCAAATGAAACAAAAGGGAACTGTCACAAACATGCTGTGGGCAGCCTCTCTTGGCCTTGTGCTCTCCAGACATTTTAAGCTAAGGCTCACAGCATTCCTCTGTTGGCCGAGGTTGACAGGGGTTGAAGTCCAAAATACCTGGAGGGCATGAGGTTGGGGTTGGCTACAGTAAGTGAACAGAAGAGCCACAGTTGTGCTTTAAGACACTTTGATCTAGTGTCATGAAGACAAACAGCAACTTTCAGGTTCTCACTGAATTGACAGTGTACGTTTTCTTGGGCATGGGTACTCGATATAAGTTCAGTGGTGCTTTCTTCCCCATAAAAATTGCACATGTGGATCCAACACTGAACATCCACCAGGTGAATGAATTTTGACTTGTGGTTTTGTCAGGGGCTACTGACATAAGACAGGTGGCAACCCTTTGTTGCCGGTCAAAGCCATTGGTCAAAATGCATTTTGGCACATTGTCCCTTATACAGCATTGGAGTAGTTGCCTTTGTTGTTATTTCTGGGATCAAGTGCAGCATACCCAATCTTCACATTCTGTCCATATCCTGGGGCTGCAGCTCTAGGGATTCATGGAGGAGCAGGCTGCTAGTCTTGTTGGGTATGTGTTAGCTCTGTTATCAGAGGTGGTATCCCTGGATGCACCAATTGCTGTGGAGTATGGTTAAGGGGATCTCTTGTACCCATCCTGAGGGAATCCTATGAGCTGGTTTCTGTTTACCACCATGTGAACAGAGTGCTGGACTGGAAGGACCATTGGTCAATCCTTTAAAGTGCCCTGGGATTTTTACTATTCTTGTATAAAACCAACATGCCTATTATTCTGTAATTTCCTCATGCCAAATATGAGGCCTTTCTACCCATGATTTGTGAAGATCAGTGTTTGGGACTGCAAATTATACAGTGTCTGTATCCTGTTACTAGAGGTTTCATTGCCCTGTTTCGCTATGTTGATAGCAGAAATGTGAGTGAAAGGAGTTTAATCCAAACTTTTATTAGGACAAAACAAAGCACAATACATTATTTGAAACTTCTTGAAAACAGAAAATGCATATTTCCAGCTTGGTGTTTGAATGACAGGGAAATTGAGAACTGTAAATAAAGGCACTTTAAAAATGCAGTCTTCTCACAACCTTTACTATTTCTTCCCAAGGGGTAAGGCTGTTGTTGTGTGCCCTGCTCATGAAGGGTTCAGAGGTTCCCACTTGCAAGGTAGCTTTTTGCAGTGGCGAGGACTGCTGTTGCCTTCCTCTCCTGTCATTGCCTCACCATATACAACATTATATAATACCAATTAAAAATGTTTTGGAAAAGGAGGTGGAACACATTTGCTGCCTGGATATTAGATCTCCCTAAAAAACGAAGACAAAATAAATCCCCTTATCTAAGCAAACTGATCACCAATCTATCCATTTGTCATCTCAGCAGTTTACAAGATCATTTTAGTGGTATTTTCCATCAGGTGTGCATGGTGGTGGTGAGGAATGAACATTTGCTTCTAGAGGTGGTTTTTATTGTGCAATTGCCTGGCCTTATTCTGGAATTTTATTTAGGGGTCCAGATTATTATTTCCATTTATAACCCTCCTGTGTTTGCCTACTACTACTTCTTGCTTATCAGAAAAAAGCACTCCAAAGAATAAAAAATAGCTGCATTTTGATAGTACTAGGAGCCATTTGTCTGGAAGCACCCCAGCTTTGGAAATCAGTGTCAGGTCTTTCCTGGCACTCCATCACAAGATAATGTTCCACTCAAAAATCATGAAAGAACAAACCTGATATGAATTGGCAATGAATTGAAGCCTTTAGAAATATGATTCATAGTTTAGACCTTGCACGAACTTGGATATCTGAAGAATAAAAGGAGAGATTTCTCTTTCACAGCCACTGCAGAAAACTAAGGATGGAGATGGAGCTTTCAGATCATCATGTGAGAATGGCATTTCCTGTAGTTTTAACTGGACTTTAACTTGTGCTAGTCAGAGGCTCTGTAAAAAATGGATAGGCCAGGATGATCCCTGTTCCTGAATGATGCTACTGTGATTTGGCTCCTTCTCAAACTGCTGAACTATGCCTGATGGTCCTATCCCAGCTCTTGTTTCCTCCTGTCACTGCTTCCTGTAGAGCTGGTCTGAGCCCTGGAACTGTTTGAATGCTCTGGTATTGGTGCTGGAATGGTCCTCTCAATCCTCCACTCCCCTTTTTGTTCCCAGGTGGCTAGGTTCATTATACCCTACATCACTACTTTTACAATTAAATATGGATAACCGAGGACAAAATTTTTAAATCCACAACATACTATTGTGCTTCTCCTCACAGAGTTGCTTCATGAAAATATGCTTTTCCATGGGAAATATCATTTCAATTGTGTAAATATTTATCTTGAAACAACTCTAAGTATGTTCAGGTAGCACCTTACTGAACCAGTGTTAGTACTGTGAGGTGATTCAGAATTCAGAACTAATTACAGAAAGACAATATATCAAAAATTCAAGTAGAATTGATTGCACATTTACTTGGCTTAAGTATGGCAAGCCGGCACTGTCAGGTCTAGAAGCGAGATGAGGAAAAATAAAGGACGTATTTTATTTTTGGGGGATGAGGAGGGATGCTGCTTCTTGGTGCACTCGCAAAATGTCTGGAAGTAATCTCAAAAGAGAAGCAGAGTAGCAAAAGTACAGCTCACTGGCATGATGTCAATTGCTGCAAATGAGAACCAGCGTCATCTCTGATGTTCAGTTCAGCAAGTCAGTGCTTGAGCTTTATCTGAGAGGATAGAAATGATGGATGTCATGACATGTAACATTGGCACCAATAGGGGTACTAAACAGCAGACGGCTAGGAACTGCAAGTTTGCAGTTCAGAATTTGTCCAGAATATCAGCTGAAATCTTTGTAAGTCTGATAAACAATTCCTGGGAAACGTAGTTCTAGGAAATGTGTTGGGACAGGCTTCCCAGCATTGTCATGAATTTGCCAATCCCAGGGTTATGTGGGAATTTAAATGATGATTAGATATGGTTTAAATGTGTAAGGGTATACTTTGAGTAGATTTAGCTGCAGTGCTTCTGAAAAATGTCAGGCAGTAAGTAGCAAAAAGCTTTGAAATGGATTGATCACCTTTCTGAATAATAATAAACTCAAAGAATGAAAGAAGCTTTCCAGAACAGGTCAGACCATTCACTTAAAAGTAAGTTGAAAAGCACTATTGAACTGGACCTCAGACTACCTGGATGTTAACAGCTAACTGCAGGTCTCGAGCACAAGAGAGAGTCTTTCCTTCCTCTTTCCCCATGGAAAGCGATTCACACTGACAAGTCATCTGACCGAGTCTTACTGCTGGTGCGACTAGTTTTGCTGAGCCTGCGTTTCTCATGGAAGTAGCCATTGGGGGGCAAGCTGGGAGCAGAATTATTGCTTGTCTCAGGAGTCTCCGTATAGCTACGTTGGACGAATGGGACTTTTCCAACAGCATCATCTTGGCCGTGAACCATCTCAGTAGCAAAGTTGACAGTGTTCTGCTGAGAGGCCATTTTGTTACTGAAGGGATTAATATACTTCCCTGCAGGGCTGGTCAAACATTGATTAAAATCTGGTGGAGGGGAGCAGCTTTGCCCTACCTTCATCTGGGTGCCTGCTGCCAGTTTGCTACTGTCTGGTCTCAAACTATTTTTACAGGAACGTGCAAATTTCTTCTTGGCTTTCTTCCATCCCAAGTGATACAGCTCAGCCAGGCTTAAAAAGAGGGACAGAGCTGCGACAGCAAGCATGAAGACAATAAAGATGTTCTTCTCTGTTGGCCGAGAAACATAGCAGTTGACTAAATGAGGGCATGGCTGCCGATTACAAACGTAGAGGGTTTCAAGGAAGATGCCATAAAGCATGTACTGCCCTATAATGAAGGCCACCTCCATGGTGGTACGGATTAAAATGCTGCAGACATAGGTGTTCAACAGAGTGCCTTGAAGGATGAACCTTCCACTGGGTTCATCCCAGCAGGAGAGCTCGGCCTTCTCTGGTGCTGGGTATTCTTGCGGGTGAAAAGCATCACTCTTGTCCTGGATTGCCTTGGATCCTTCTTTGGCCTCCTTAAGTTTTCTCTTCTCCTCCATGCGTACTGTGTGCATTGCATGGCCCATGTACAATAGGGAAGGGGTGGAGACGAAGATAATTTGAAGAACCCAGTACCTGATGTGGGAGATGGGGAAAGCCTTGTCATAGCAGACATTCTCACAACCAGGCTGCCGAGTATCACACATGAAGTCAGACTGTTCATCTCCCCAGGAGGATTCTGCTGCTGTGCCCAGGACAAGCATCCGGAAGATGAAAAGCACAGTCAACCAGACTTTCCCCACCACTGTGGAGTGCTTGTGGACTTCTTCCAGGAATTCTCCCAGGAAGCTCCAGTCACCCATTTTAGCTCAATATGGAGAATAGCCTCTGGAGAAAGAGAACAAGAGAGAATGGGTTGCAGTACAGAGGAATGATTGAAGACCACCACATAACACTTTGTTTGCAAGAGAAGTGGCACGGAATAGGCTCACAACCCCAAAACTAAGCATGGAAGCAGAGAAAACCAATTCCTTTCTGATCAAAATACTACATTACTCCATAACAATATAGCAATGTGGGATGAATGAGTCAAAGTACCTTCATAGAGTTAAGAAATCCCTCACTGGTTCAGTTGCTTTAGCATGTTCATCTAGCTTCATCTCTTCATCTCTTCATAGCCTCTCCACTACCAACACAGGCTAATCAGTATGATGTTTGTAAACAGAGCAGTCCTATTCATGTGTACTTGGCATCCTTTCTTGTGACATCCTTGGCATCCTTCTTTCTCAGTTAGGCATAGCTTGAGCAGATGGATACCAAATCTTTAATGAGCCCACTGTGCTATGACCTTGTTTACTCCATCACAACTCTCCAATGGCTTTGTTCATCTTGTCTGTAGAGGAATCTGTTCTCCTACCTTAAAATAGCACAGCTGCAAGGTGGTCAACAGCAAAACAGAACACAACATTGAGTTAAATCTGTTCATTTGCAGGTGGGAATCTACATATCTGGATGTTGCCCTCTGAATGCCAATAGCAATAGTTGGTGCCCTTCTGCTATTTTAGACAACCTGGTGTTATCCTGATGTTTTGGGCCACAAGTGCTGCAATGTCTTACCATTGGCTGTGCTGGCAGGGACAGATGAGATTTGCAGTCCAAAACATCTGGAGGTCACCAGTTGCCTACCTTTGTCCTATGGCACTCTTCCTTTAGACCACTCACCTGCTACTTCTTTCTTTCTTTCTTTGTTCTTTTTACAAGAAGCAAGTTTTCTCTTTCTAATTTTCATGGTTATAATGTTCTTTTATTTGTGCTGTCATACATGCTGCATAATGGAGCCACAGTGCACTATTACTCATTGCACCAGCCAGTATAATGATCTTGACAAGCAAAGAAGGACAAATGAGTTTTCAGAAGTCACTGATGACTTGGGCAGGCCGTCCCATCCATATCAGCTTCTGCTTCAGGGAGTCTATTGCTATGAACTTATGTTCCTTGCCTTGGGGGAGCCAAGGATCTTCAACTTAAAAAAAAATTAGAGGCCGGCCTAAAATGAGATTAATGGTTATATAAATAGCCAACCTCAACATGTTAGTACTAGGGTGACCAAAATTTGGTAACCCTGCAAAACAAAAATACTGATCAGTTTTGTTTTATGTGTATGTTAATGTGTAATCTTTCTTTCTGCCACATAGTCACCTAATGGTACAGCTCTAGCATTGTTGGGAGTCTGGAAAAACTTAATTTTGAGTTTTTGAGGATGCTAGATCCTCTCCATATGAATTTCCACTACAAAATGAAGTTACCCACATTGCAATGGGGAAAAGGGATTACATGAACCTGCCCCTAGGACCTCCTGACTTGTCAGAATGGTAAAAACGAAATAATTTTGTGATGAATGAAACTCATAATTTTGTATGAATGAAACACTATAATACCTACTGTACAGAGGAGTAGTTCATTTTAAGCCCATCCCTCTATTTTGTTTGTTTCACTCATTCAAAAGGGAACATTTTCATGCTGCTTCCCCTTGGTGTCTTTTAGATCTTACAGAAATGGCTTAGGTCAGGGGTCGGCAACCTTTAACACTCAAAGAGCCATTTGGACCCATTTCCCATAGAAAAGAAAACACTGGTGGGAGCCACAAAACCATTTTGACATCTAAAATGAGGATAACACTGCATATATAGTTTTTTACCTTTATGCTATGTATAAAAAAACTACAGTGTGTTGCATTTATGAAATCAATGAACTGCTACAGAG